GTTTTGAAATTTTCTGCAGTCAAAAGTATGCCAATTACTTACCAATTACTTCTATTACAACTTGATATTTCAAGTTTTACTAAGAAGGTCTCTTTTAAGGCCCCCTCTTGGGCACCTGGGTGGCTCAGTTGGTTGTGTCCAGCTTTTGATTTCAGTTCAGGTCCTGATCTCAGGGTCCTGGGATGAAGCCCTGCATCAGACTCCATGCTCAGCAGGAAGTCTGTTTGAGGATGGTCTTTCTCCCCCTCTCCCTCCCCCAATTTGTGTCTTCTCTTTCTCTCTCTCTCTCTCTCTCTCTCCCTCAAATAAATAATGAAATCTTTTTTTAAAAAAAAGGTCTAAGAAAACAGGGCTTTTCTGGACTGTGGAAGCTGAGGGTGTGTACATATTCTACAACGTCATACAAAAAGGTGGGGGAGAGAACAGTCAACATTTCTGTAACATTTAATGGCAGTATTTCATAAAATAAACTAAAAAAATTAATTATCAAAAAAGGGAGGTTTAAAAGAAATTAAATAACATTTGGGCTAAAATAATCTATCTGTAATTTAGGATAAAATGACAGCTCTAATATTTTTGTTTTTCCAACTGTAGTACCAATATACTGCAACTATGAAATGACAATTTTTTTCCTCACTGATTAAAGATGTCTTTCTTATCGTATATAATTTTCCATGTAACTATTATCTGGAGCATGTATTGATGCATTTATCTATCCCTGCATCAATACCACACTGTCTTAAAGAGGAAGGCACTAAGGAATTATTGTTCCATCATTCATTGACCATGAGACCTAAGTAAACTTCTCTGAGCCTCAGGTTCTACTTTGCAGTGTTGTTCTCAGAATTAAATATATAAGGGATATAAGTAAATAAATTTCCTAGCCCCGTGCCCTCACATGAAATAGGCATTCATAAATGATTATTATTAATATCATCATAATGCATGATGAAATTGGACTACAGGCAAAAGTTAATAATAATAAGCTAACTATGCATTTAAAAAATACAACAAACCCTGCTACTCTTTTATGTTTCCCTGTGTGTTCAAGCTCTAGAAGAACTAGTCCCTGTGGGGAGATCATTCAGATTCCGGTAGATGTTCTGTTCTCCTAGGCTAACAATGGGAAAAGAGGAAGGAACAAAGATTAGCTTATACAGGGTGCTTTGGAAAGGGAGACTGGGTCAGAAACAAAGAGAAGTGGAACTTCACTGAGATCCCCATAGGAAGGAGCTAAGCTAGTCATTCACAGTTGCTTAGCAACATGTAAATGCACAAGAAAGAAGCAAGGTAAAGCCATCACAAAATCAGGCACATCTTACTCTCTCACCCATTTATTATTTCTACACTGAGCATTAGTCAAAGAGAAACAGAATATCAGTTTGACCTCCAAAAGTAAGCTGGCCAGATAGTGAAGGAGATACAGGTCAAACATCAGCATAAAAATGTAGTAGGTAGCCCAGGAATAAATATGCAGACAAAATCCTTGTGCTTATGGCTGCATTCAAGGTGCAACAGAATTATTCTTGCAGTGTATCAAGTATTTATAAGTGCTTCAGGGGACACATAGAAGAGGACAAGGAAGCCCAGGCTTTCAAACACTTTAAAATAGGGGCACCTGGGTGGCTTAGTGGTTGAGTATCTGCCTTTGGCTCAGGTCATGATCCCCAGATCCGGGGATCGAGGCCCACATCAGGCTCCATGCAGGGAGCCTGCTTCTCCCTCTGCCTATGTCTCTGCCTCTCTCTGTGTGTCTTTCATGAATAAATAAATAAAATCTAAAAAAATTCAAAAACACATTAAAATATACCAGGAAAGGATGATTCAGTTGGTTAAGCATCTGATTCTTGCTTTCAGCTCAGGTCATGATCTCAGGGTCATGAGATCAAGCCCCACATCAGGCTCCATGCTCAGCATGGAGTCTGCTTGGGATTCTCTGCCTCTCTTCCCCTTCTGCCCCTCTCCCCATTCATTGTCTCTCTCTCTCTCAAATAAATAAGTAAAATCTTTTTAAAAGAATAAATGAAATAAAATATACTAGGGAGAATAAAACATGAATATAGATCATTCCACCACAAAGCAGATTTCATCTCATGATTGAGGAATACCTCATTTATATGTCCTCAAAGGTCAGAGAGAACAAAGCTTGGAGGCTTGCAAGCCAGAAAAGATTCCCTGAAGAGGAGCCATTTGAATTAACCTTTAACAGTTAAATAGGGGAGAAAACTAAATAGGATTTTCATAGTAGATGTCGAGATCAAAGAACACATTTCAGTATGCCAGGAAGGAAGCTCCAGGCATGTTGGGAACAAGGATAATCCAGATTTCAATACAAAATAGAATTCTACTACAACAGACACAGAGAAAGATGAAATTATTGCCATATTGTGGAGGTCTGTGCATACTAGGTTTAGGGACCCATGCTTTATTTCTAGGCATGAGAGCCAGTGAGAGTGTGGGTGGAATGGCTAGTTGTGCCTTCAGGGGATGAATCTGGTAATAGTAGTTTTGATTGAGAGGGAGAGGAGAGTGTAATGGAGCAAGTGGTGAAGAAGAAATTTTAGCAGTTCTGTATTATAATAATACAGATATTATTTAATACAGATATTATTACAGTATTATAAAATTATTATAATAATTTTAGCAGGAGGACAGTCTGTACTAGAATCCACAGGAATGGGAAGAAGGGCACAGACAATAGAGACTGCAGAGGTAGCAACTGAAGACAAGTTACTGATTAGATTCAAAGGCTCAGCAGAGATGGGGAGTGAAAATTATCTAAGAGGTGGTAAGCCTGATTTACTGGATATAAATAATAGAAGAAATAGATCCAACTGAGCAGTAAAGGGAGCTGGTGGGAGGAAGGACGAGGGAAAGGACAACCATTTTGAACTCGCCAAGTTTAAAATGTTCATGGTACCATCAAGTGGCAATGCCTTCAAATGGAAGAAAACAGAGATTTGGAGTTCTGAGGGAGGTCAAGGTTTTGATGATTGATTATTTGCACAAAGGTCACAACTGAAGCTGTAAACACAAAAGGAAAAGGAGATGAATCCTCGAGAAAGAAGAGGGCTGGCTAAACAAAGAGCCAGAGGGCAGGAGGATGAGCAGGTAGTGAAGGAGACACAAGACAAACAGCAGAGCAGGGAGGAGAACCAACCCAGGGCAGCAACACAGGACTTTCAGGAAGACCTACAGATGGGCAATTATGCATGGTGCTCATTTTCTCTTTTTTAAAATCTATCAAGACCAGGTTTTATTTTTATAGAAGTATTTTTAACCAGTTTTTTTGAAAGAAATCTCTTATTATCAAAAGAATATCAAATACTATAGAGATTTAAGATGAGCCTTAATAGGGCACCTGGCTGGCTCAGTCAGAAGAGCCAGTGACTCTTGATCTTGGGGTTGTGAGTTTGAGCTCCACACTGGGTGTAAAGTGTTGCTTAAATAAATTAATAAACTTAAAAAGAAGATGGGGGCTGAGGATAACATCACATTTAGGGATTCGGAACTCCTGTGTATCCTTTAGAAACACACTTGAGGGGTGCCTGGGTGGCTCAGTCTATTGAGAGTCTACATTTGGCTCAGGTCATGATCCCAGGGTCCTGGGATCGAGCCCCACATTAGGCTCTCTGCTTGGCAGGGAACCTGCTTCTCCCTCTCCCTCTGCCTGCTTGTGTCCTCTTTCTTTTCTTTCTTCTTTCTTTTTTTCTTTCTTTCTTTCTTATAAATAAATAAAAATAAATAAATAATAAATCTTTTTCTAAAAAAAAAAAAGAAACACATTTGAACAGAACAGGGGAGCAGAAGAGGATTGTAAAGGATCATGGCGGGGGAGCAAGTGACTAGCAAAATAGCCACTTGAGGGGGTAAAAGGGTAAAAGGGTTCAAGAAAGAAGAGGCATATTTGTTGAGGAAAGTAAGGGTAATGAAGAGGGAAAGGTTGAAGATTCATGTAGAATTGGGAATCCTTGACTGAGCAGGGCATAGAAAAGAAGCAAAGAGAGCCATGAAAAGCCAAGAACAGGTCTTCTAGAAAACCTGTCTTCTAATGAAAAAGAGGAGATGAGGCTGAAAAGCTTTAAAGCAAATAGAGGGAAGGTTTGGGACCTTAGTTTGAAGGATTCAAGAGCTTAAAGAAGGTTTGAGAAGCTTTGTGGAAGGTGGAAAAGCAGCCTGCATTCTTCACCAAACCAAACCCAAGTCTTTTCTTCTTAATTCTTGTCAGATAGACATAGATGAACCTCCCCCACATCAAAAATTTCAGTAGGTCCTCATATCAGCATAAACTAAGTCATGTCTGGGTTCATGGACCTTAACATTGACAAAACAGGCTGACAGAGTAGGCTACTGCAGAGACATAAGCAAAATATAAATCATAAACCGTAGGTTTCACAAGGATCTCCAAAGGTCATCTGCAAATACACAAACCCCAGACAACACACACTGCCACGCACATGTACAAATGGACCATGCTCTGTGAAGAGAGTTCAGACACCAGGAACTCTTGCACAGAAGACAGAAAGCTTCCCTGCAACAGATGGCTGGAAAACAGTGAAGTGATTAAAAAAAGAAAGGAAGGAAAGGAAAAAGAAAAGTGGTTTACAGCATGAAACCAGAGGAGAATTGAGGTTCCAAATATCTTCTCCAGTCTGACTCAACAGATAAAAATTGAATGATGTGTCAGGATCCTTGCATCCAGTTTCCAGAAGGATAATTTTAAACTCCAAGAGATTGATCACAGGGAAAATAAAAGTTTCCGGATTCTTTGGCCACATGAAGTCCCACAGGGAGCAAGCTGCATTAGCTACACGCTTGCTGAGTGTAAATCAGTGACGCTAGCCCATTATCTCCGGATCTTCTATCTCACCTTGAAATCCTATTTCATTGAAGTTATTCTCCTCATCATTAAATGTAGCGGAGAGGAAAAGGGCATTAAAAGTGGAGAAGAGATTTAAAGAAGCCATGTCCCATTGCACCATGTCCTCTGCAGTTTTTCATTAATTGCAACTCAAGATACTCAGCACCCTGCATAGCGGCCCCCCCTCCAGCACACCTCGCAGCCTGGGGTTGCTCAAGAGCAGTGATGGGGTGGGCCGCTGTGCACAGATAAATCACTGCCTGCCACACCCAACGCCTACATTCCAAGATGGAAAAACACCTGCAGCGCTAAGCACCAATGACAGAAGAATAGGAGGTGAGAAGGATACCAAAGGAGATGAGAGCCAGGAGAACCTGGGTGTGTGCCCGGGCACTGGGGTCACAAAGGCCACAATGGAGAGCAGGGCCTTCTTAGTGTGTCTTTCCAGAGACATGAGCAAAGCCATACCAACAAGAAAGACAACAGCAAAGACTGTCCAGGTAACAAGTTTTAAAGAGAAGAAATAGCCTTCCAAGATTGCAACCCTCTCCTTAAAGAGTAGGGATGTGGGGCATCCTGGGTGGCTCGGTGATTGAGCATCTGCCTTTGGCTCGGGTCATGATCCTGGAATCCTGGGATCGAGTCCCACATCCAGCTCCCCATGGGGAGCTTGCTCCTTCTGCCTGTGTCTCTGCCTCTCTCTCTGTCTCTCATGAATAAATAAATAAAATCTTTTTAAAAAATAGGGCTGTAAGCTCTGATTGCCTATGAAAATAGGTGCTCAAGCTGGAGCCCCACAGAACAGAGCAGCATCCATGGAACCAATCCAGACACCTTCTGTTTTAGCCAGAAAAGATGGGGAGGATGAATGACGGTTGCGGGTTTTCACGCAACAGAAGGCACCCAGCTAGGTGAAGAGCCATAAGGTGGCAGTGTTCAACAAGTCCCACTGGGAGGCCAGGAACTGCAATACAGGATTGTATGGAAAGGCCCCTGGATACAGGAAAAAATAAATGCTCTTCCCTCTCACCACCCACTGCAGACAGAGGCAAGAGGCCCCCAGGCTGACTAATAATTTATCACAAGGCTAACAGTGTTCTCCGTAGCAGCCACACCATGCCCAGGGCTAGAGTGATGAAGCTATTGGTCACTGCTGCCACCAGGAACAAAAAATAAGACAAAATGATAGCCAGGGTGATGGGTCTCTAAACAGTCACTGGAGATTCTGGAATCGTGTCATCTCCATTCATCAATCCCATGGATGAAGATGGGTCTCAAGACTTCAAGGTCTATTCCTGTTGGGTGGCTCTGGAAGGTCCTGCATGACTTTTGCCCCTCCAGTTGCCTCCAAGTGTAGAGCACAAAGTAGAGGACATGGGCTGTCTCCTGAGGGTACAGAAGCTTCTCCTTCATAGAACAGATGCAAATATTGGTAAAGGTCAGTTTCAAAAGGCTCCCTGCCTGCCCCTGAATTTGCCTGCCCTTCCTCTGCCTACTTTCTGCCCATGTCAACATCGGTGTAAATAATATATCAGGCAGGCACTGGCACGTGGCGATCCCCTACACTGGAGGGTCTAATTCTCTAAGCTACATGGCTGCACACCTGCTGGCAGCTCTGTGACGCAACCTTCACCAACAGTCAGAGCTCACATCCCTTGGTTGGCTGTCATTCCAGACATTGTTCTAAGTGTTTTCCATTGTGTTGTTCCCACCATGACCCTATGAAGTAGATGCTTTTGGAATACTCCCCTGATAGAAAAATGAGCTAACCCTCTCCTACAAGAGGTTAGTTCAAGTCCTATAACTTGCTGTGACAATCAGCACCAAAAAGAACACAGGAAACAATTATATATTATCAGGCAGGTGACTTTTTTATAATCAATCAATCTTTATTTATTTTTTATTTATTCAGAGAGAGAGAGAGAGAGAGGCAGAGGGAGAAGCAGTCTCCATGCGGGGAGCCCGATATGAGACTCGATCCTGGATCTCCAGGATCACACCCCGGGATGCAGGCAGCACTAAACCCCTGTGCCACCGGGGCTGCCCGGCAGGTGCCTTTTTTGTTACAACATTTGATAATTTGTGACCTTAAAAGTAGGATTTCCTGGAGGAATTGCTACCAGGGGCAAGAGGTCCCCAGGCTGGCTAATAATTTATCAATGGGATGTGGCAAAAAAGAACCCCAGACAAGAACTCATTGGGGGTTACTGGGTACATTGTTTAGCCCCTCTGGGCCTCAATTTCTCCATCTGTAAGATGCAAAAAGTGTCATCTGTTCTTTTTTTTTTTCTTTTTTTCTTTTTTTAAGTTTTAAGCCTATGCCCAGCAGAGGGCTTGAACTCACAACCCCCAGATCGAGAATTGCATGCTCTTCCAACTGTGCCAGCCAGGTACCCCCAAGTACTAACTGTTCTAATTCAAGATTGAACTAGAATCTGAGACTAGAATCTCAGTTTTTAGGGTGAAAGAAAATGTTAAAATAATTTTATAGAATAAAGAAACGAGGCCTCAAATTATAGATTAAGAGTCCCAGCTAAGGTCATAGCTACAAGGAGGAAAACCAAGACGCAAACTGATTCCAGGACCAGAGATCTCCGCCATAGTTCGCAACACATCCTTTACTCTGATCTCCTTCATCTCCAGCTGAAGTCAGAGGCCAGATTTTGGGTCTTTTCACAATCACTATCTACAGATCTTCAGGCTAGTCACTTAAACTTTCACCTATAAGACATATGGATCACAAATACATGTGGGTATATATCTATACTATTCGTACAGCATAAGAAAGAATTATGGTGACGATGACAACTGTTATTATAATAACTACCTGTCATTCCATCTATCCTGTGGAGGGACAAGTAGTCCTAGGAGAATTTAGGAGAGCATCAGAGAGGCAGTAGAGGTCAGAACACCAAATCTTGGACCATCCACTTTAACCAGAGGAAGGCAGAGTAAGCAAAGGTTTTGTTTTTTCATAGGCATGATGTTCAAGGAGTCCAAAAAAATCAGCAATTAGGCGAATACTTACTTACCTAGGTGAGTGATAAGCAGATTAATGTGTCTACAGGCAGACAGGCAAACAGAAATGTTGGGGGGTCATATATGGCAATATTGAAGGCTCAAGATCAAGTTAACATGAGAATGAGGGAGCATTTTGTAGTACATTCCTGTTCTGGCCAGCACCATATCCTACCAGTTTCATGCATACAACCCCATGAAGAGAGAACAGAGTCCATAAAACATAGCGTCTCTTCCCAGTTCCCAGTCCACCTGGGACAAAAATCCAGGTGGAATTATTCTTCTAACACAGAGCCCTTGCTAAGGTGACTACCGTGTTCCTGGAGAAAGGAGAGATGGCGAACTAAGGTATTTTTTCATCTTGCCTTTCTGTGAGGATGCAAATCATCAGGATATAGAGTTCCCAACTGCTCTCTTCCTTGGCGTTGTTCCTCTGGCTGACTTTTGGCCACTTCCTACTGGACCTTGGAACAATGGGGCAAACTTTGAGCTCCTAGCTCTGGAGTTTGGCCAGCCACAAACCTCTCAGTATGGAAGCTCATCCTTCCCATCCACCTTCTACATCTTTGGTGGCTTGTACGTTGGCAAGATGTGTGCTAGTCTTCAATTCATTCAACAGCAATTTATGAGGCATCCCCTATGTCATAAGAGCCCTGTGAAAAGCACCAGGGCTACAACAGGGAACTAGGCAACTACCCTCAAAGTGTTTTCACACACCAATCATAAACCCGAACATCAACTGGCCACACACTATGTGCAGCTTAAGCTACTCCAAAAAGGTAATTAACCATTTGTATTTAAATATGCAATGTGTTTTATAGTGATTCTTTTGTTTGTGCTTTTTATGTGTTTGCTCCATTTTACTTCCTCTTTTTCAGATTTATCTCCTCAGGCGGAAGCCAAGTCTGAGAATTTTGAGTTTTCACAGCTGGTCTTGATATGTGTAACAGTGGGGATGGTAGTAGGAATCTGGAGTAGATTCTCTATGTGAGAAACATGTACCTCAAGAACTCTCTCTGAGAGGGATAAAGTGGGAGGACTTCCTACCTGCAGTTGGAAAGGTTATGTGGCATCCTATTCACACCTCCAAGAATTCTGAGAAGAGCTCAGTTGGAGTAGCAGTAGAAGAGCCCTCATTGTGGGATGAACAAAGATGCTGTCTTGTATGTGGCAAGGAAGGAGGCATGGGTCAGTAAAGGAGCTGCAACTGCCATTATGTCTAGGGAACAATCAGACAAGTTGGGCCACAGCAGAGGGAATGGTGACATATCCGGCTGAATAGGCAGGCTGGGAAGAGTTCACAGAAAGCCTTGAAAGTCAAGATGAGACACTGGGTTATGTTTCTGGTCGAGATGGAGCCACCAAGTGTTTGGGGCTAAAACCTAAGAAAAGGTTAAGAACATCAACCAATCAAGAAGTCCTAAGATAAGCCCATTAGACCTGGCATAACTCAAAGGGCTGTGAACATGTTGCAGGATATGAGCCACATCAGGGGCAGCCCGGGTGGCTCAACGGTTTAGCGCCACCTTCGGCCCAGGGCCTAATCCTGGAGACCCGAGATCAAGTCCCACATCAGGGACCTTGCATGGAGCTTGCTTCTCCCTCTGCCTCTCTCTGTGTGTGTGTGTGTGTGTGTGTGTGTGTGTGTGTGTCATGAATAAATAAAATCTTTTTAAAAAATTTAAAAAAGAGTTACATCACCATCCTCTCCCCACCCAAGACATTCAGTATAATTCTGAAACTCTATTGTACCAAGAAAGAGTAGGCAAGGAAATGCAATCTTCCAGGTGCTTCTAGATGAGTTGTCCATGGAGAGAGATACCCCTTATGCTCTTGCCTTCACTGCTCCCACCCAACTCTTTTCTAGTCGTTGGTCTACATATGTTTTTAAAATGAATTCCATCAGAAAAAAAAAAGTATGAGCATGCATCCAACCATATGCATATTTATTTAACTACATATATGTATACTTCACAGGCTTTGTAAAGTATGTAATGTAATACACTCTGTACATCATAAAATAGATACACAAAAAAGGAACTAAAAGGAAGAGATCAAAATAAATGGAAATTGGAGTTTCCACACTTTTCTTTCCACACTCAGTGGATCATTGTGCATACAACTCTGGGATGCAAACACCCCAATTTGGAGACTACTATCCTAGGCACTGACATTCAGGATCCACCTCCTGGGTGAGCATACAGGTATGATAGGATCATCCAAATTAAGAACAACAGCAAATTTGTTTTGTTTTTTCTTCTCTATCTTCTGTTGACCAAAACCTAAAAGCATTTCCACATCAGACAATTCATTTTAAGTCAACATATAGCAAACATACAAAATCTTAGGCAGGGCCTAGACTGGCAGGAAACTCATATATACACCCTTGGCCTCCCATGGGATCAAACTGGGAAGACTCCATGGGTGGAATCAGTCAAAAGCTGGGTACAAAAAAAGGGAATGGACAAGAATGGCAGACAAATAAAGAAGGAAGTTCCAGATGGGCCAAATGACCACAGGCTACAGTGAAGAAGATGTGAGCATGTGGGGAGATGGAAAGAACCCTTACTGGGTTGGAGTGGAGAGCCTAAGCTGACAGCAGAGCAGTAAAGAAGAGGGCATTGTGTGTGGGATGATGTGGGACAATTTGTACCACCATTAAAAAAATACTTCAAGTTGACCACAGAGACAACTGACAACCATTACAGGTCTCCATAAAGCAGTCAGGACCAAAGGATGCTTGGAGAACTTTATAATAGTTGCTCATATACAGGGTGTGAAAGGTCTGTGAGGCAATGAAGCCATCATCCTGGCCCAGGATTGTTTGGAACCCACCCTGAGGACTAGAAACAGTAGAGGGGATGTCAGGAACAGAGAGGGCTGCAAAAAGAATTAATAGGGCATAGAAGGAGTAGGAAAGAAAGAGGGAAATGTAAAGAGAGAAGTGGTTATTGATACTGATAACTTGAGACAGATCAGCCTTTGTCCAGAGCTTTCCAAAGCCTGGTCATCAGGACCTTTCTCAGTTTGGGGCTGCTTAGCACCAGCATGCTGGAGTGCAGACAGATGCTCGCATAGGTTACCACTTCCCAGGCCCAGTACCAGTGACTCTGGAAGTTTGTTATTTCTATAGCAACAACAACCAGAGACAGGAAATATGATGTGTAGAAGACAAGGAAGAAGACAAGTGACTTCAGGGCCATCGTGTGAACCCGGGTGCTAGGATCACATGGGTCCTGTCTATAGTTCCTCATCAGCCCCAAATGCCGGCACAGTGAGAACACGAGCAAGAGCATGGACACCAAGAACAGGAGGAATGGAACTGACCACATAAGCATTACATCAAATAGATGAAAAGACCTATAGAAGGCCTGTACTCTCTCAGCCCAGGTGCTGTTTCCTTGGGAACTCCTGGAGGCAATCATCTGTTTCAGAATTCCAGTCACAATGGCTGATGAGATGACTGTCAGGCCAACTAAGACCAGGGAGCCCAGCAGCAGCCTGGGCACTAACCGAGAAATCCTCCACTTCAGCCAGAAGAAGACAGGGTGAGAGAAGACGGCGACCTTCACACAGTAGAAGACAGCAAGCCAGGCAGTGAGCCAGAGAGTGAGAGTGTTGACGAAGTGCCAGAGGGTGTTGTAATAGTCCTTTACGAAGTGAAAACCAAAGAAGATCAAGAGGTTGTTCAGGATGGCCACCCCATGCAGGCAGAACCGGGAGGCAGCCAGGGAGGCCACAATCATGTCACCTGCAGGCAGCGTCCGGCGTCGCACCCACTCCCCGCCCAACACAGTAACCATGAAGCCATTCTGCAGCATTGCAGCCAACGACTCCAGGAAGAAGATGACCATGAAGATCAATGTAGGTGAGGAGGACATCCTCTCCAGGAGGCTCTGCTCACATGGGGACACATCTGCAAGGTAAACTGGACTCTCTGGCCAAGCCACTCTGTTGAGACCAGAGACCTAAAATCTCTCCCCTTGGATTCACACAAAAGCCAGCAAACACCTCCAGTCCCCCAGGATTTGAGAAGAGGATCCCTGTGATCTCTCTTGGCATGCAAATCACTCCCAGCTCAATGACTTGATGTCTATATTTGCCTAACCTGTATTTGCCTGTTCCTTACCAGAGCCAGAAGCAGGGAAATATTAACAGAAGAGAGGCTCCAGGGGTGATTGAAAATGCTCATGTTTTATACTTTATTATTTTTTTCCTAACTTTTCCTTGAAAGATGGCCTTATCCTTGTTTGGCTCCCCTAACCACAAACCTTTTCTGACCCTTCATGTCCCAATTTATTTTTTTTTTCATGTCCCAATTTAATATTTGCTTTTAAAGATCTTATTTATTTATTTATTCATGAGAGATACACAGAGAGAGGCAGAGGGAGAAGCAGGCTCCACCCAGGCATCCCCCAGTTTGTTCAGTGGTCTGTTAACATCATATTAAGGCCTATCTCTTGTATGAGTGGAATAAGAAGTCATCCATATGCACAGGCACCAGGAAAAGGCTCATTTCTCCTCCACTGACTGCTCATGTTGCCTGAAATTTCACTGGCAGCCTCCATATTGAAGTTTGAGGAGTCTCCAGTTAAAATGTGTAATTTCTTGATGTGTCAACATCAAATCTGTTAGCCATTAATGCCTTAGCTTCAATGTGCTTAGCAAACCAAAATTACTCATTTCCCAAGAAGGCTCTGAGGAAATGAGAGATAAGTAAGTCATGAGAAGAAGGGAAAGACAGAGAAGGGAAACTGAGGAGGCCAGATCCAGAACGGACACACCACAGGAGCCAAGGAAGCAAGAGTTGGGACGACAAGAGGAGTTCAGAACAAGCCCACAGGGTGGGGGGAGGGAGGGGGGAGGGGGGACAGTAAGAGAGTAACAACCAACCTGTTGGAACACTTTGCCATTCATAAGGTGATTACACATGTTACATGTTGCCTCTGCCGCCAACCACACAGGGACGCTGGTCCAGATCAGGGGGCAATGAAGAAGAATCCAACTCAGGTGAGCTTTAAAGGGGCAAGAATGCTTATGAACATGAAAAAGAAAAAAAGCAAAGGGGAAAGAGGAAAGAAATAGGAGGGTAGAGGGAAGTAGAGGTGCAGGAGAAGCAGAGAAGGGAGTCTGCTCTTCCAATATCAAAGATCCTGGAGTCATGGTCCTCTCCAAGGCCACTCACAAATAAAGGCCTTCTCTCCTACTTGATATGGTCTCACTCAAGACTCCACAGTGAGAGGTCTACTGTGAAAGATGAAAGGGAATAAAAACAAGAATAAACATTTATAGAGACCTCAAGAAAAAGTGCACTTGCTTGAAGAGCTGCTTCACTTTTCTCAAAAGATTGCCAAAGATCAGACAATCCACTCTCCTCAATGGTTTTGTAACTCACCTGCAGCAACTTGATTTAGTTTTTTGTGTTTCCCCTGACTTCTTCTTGAAGACGACAGCAATGAGTGGCTCCTGCAAGTTTCACAATATTTTGGCTCTTGGAATCCTTTGGAGAAAGGCCAGCTTCATGATGTCATCAAGAAGCAAGTCGAGGCCATGGCACACACACCCTGTTGCGATCACATGTAACCAAGTATCCCCTGTGTGCTCACAGGCAACTTAGGGACTTGCACGGTCATCAAAATATATACTTTTCCAGAAATGGTTTTTCCAGGACTCTTCTGTTTCTACAGTTGACAGCTCTACCAAGTGATGTTTTTTCTCCTTTCCATATTCCTCTGTAAGCAGCTTGAAAGAGTACCCTTTGTCAGGCACCTGGTCATCCATCTCACAGTGCTCCACTAGATGTGTCATAGAGAGGTCATACCCCATGCATAGTCTGCCTCCAAAAGAGGTCACAAGCAGGACAACTCTTTTAATCGCTCTTGAGAGTCCCTCCGATATGCAACACCAATCAAAATACTCGGTGTTTCTCACCACAGTTTGGGGCATGTTCCTGTTTTCTAAAGGTATCTCATGCCTGAAGATAAAACTCATGAATCCTTTTGTAGTGCAATTGTCAAAAAAAATTTTAGCATGATACCTGAGTCCCCTGTGAAACTTTGCTGGTGTCAACACATAACAGCAGAAGGTCATGATTCTGAAGAGACCTACCTGCACTTCCTTCATTTTGACTCTCGACATTGGTAAAGGATTTTTTTTTTTTTTTGGCTTCTGTTTATTAGGGAGGTATTTTTTGTCTTATTTTCTTATTACATTAAAAATGCACTGGGTCACCTTAGTGACATGTGAAAATACATATTTCATTTAACAGCATTTGTAAATCCTGGTGTCCATTCCCCATTGGACCTTTGAGTGACCTGTAGTGTGTAAATACTTCCACATTCTTCCATGATTTCATCAGGTAATTGATGGTCTGTGCCAGGGAAAGGTGGAGGAGGAAGGAAATAACAATGTTTTTAAAGGCTAAACTATGCATAAACACGAAGCTAAATTATGCATTAATTTAATAATGATTTCCCTGCAGAATAAGCTCAAAATATTCTTCTGGCCCTGTAGACCTCCTCTCACATGTATATTCAGGTAAATAATTTTGAACATTGAATCTAATAGCAATCCAGCATAAAATAGAATTGTAACTTTCCAAAAATAAATCAGAATATACAACATCCTCAATTATCAGATGTATAAACATTGTTAAATATTGCTTAATATTCAGGAAAATTTATGCACTTTCCTTTCAACTAAAATAAATATATGTAATATATATACATATATATAATTTTAAAGCTGTTTTTTGCAACATAAAGTTTGGCTGCAAGGAAGTCCAGAGTCCAATTTTATCTAATTCAAAAAATTTGAGAAAAAAAAAATTTTAACTTTCTGACTTGCATCATTTGAGCAACGGAGAGTGATAAAATTAATCTCTAATGGAATAAGTTAATGCTCCTTCCATAATGCCATGTTTCACCCAAATGTCTAACACCTGGCAGAAGGATAAATCATATTCAACTCCTAAATCAGCAGTTCACAAACCATGGTAGAGAAGGGACAAGATAAGAACTGAGGAAGTGCAACCACAGGTTCTCACCTCCTCTTCAAACAGAGTAGCTTTGAGGCATGTGTGGGGCTTAGTCAGTTAAGCCTCTAACTCTTGATTTCGGCTTGGGTCGTGATCTCAGGTTGGTGGATGGAGTCTGCTTATCCCTCCCCCAGCTCGTGCATGTGCGTTTGCTCTCACTCTCAAATAAATACATAAATCTTACAAAACAAAACAGAGTAGCTTTGCTTATATCTAGTGTATGTATGTATAGGGTGTGTGTGTGTGTGTGTGTGTGTGTGTGTGTGTGTGTGTATACACACATTCTGTGAGAGACCTCAGTTAAAGACAGGAGTCCACCACAAAACAAATTTGGAGCTGATGTCCTAGATTGAAAGTCATAAAGAGGGAAAGAGATTGAATCCCTGCATCTTCCTTCACTTTCTCCCTAAAACTCTTCTAAATTGACTATACAGAGATTTTTAGAAATTCTTTTTCAAGCCTTCAATCTACAATAACAGAATGAGGGAAGGAGGGGTCCTGGGTGGTTCAGTCGGCTAGGCAACTGCCTTTGGCTCAGGTCATGATCCCAGGATCCTGGGATTGAGCCCCACATCAGGCTCCCTGCTCAGTGGGGAGCCTATTTCTCCCTCTCCTTCCCACTTGTGCTCTCTGTCACTATCTCTGTCTTTCTCTCAAATAAGTAAATAAAATCTTAAAAAAGAGAGAGAGAGAGAGAGAGAGAGAGAGAGAGAAAATGAGGGAAGAAAAAAAAAACACTTGGGAAGCTAGAAAGTAGATGGAAAAGTAGCCAAAAACAGCAGATCTGAGAAAACGAAATCCTATGCAAGCAGAAGGAAATGTCAAGAATTAACTGACTTTTACTTAGGATTTTCAATACCAGGTACCTCTGGAGAAAAACTGTTAAAAATTGGTTGTAAGTCAGTTTAAGATTCAGATGCCCAGATCACATCCTCCCTTTTGCATAACTAGGCACACTCCTCCTTAGCCCTAGGGAAAGACTAGAGGATATTCTCTGGAGATGATAAAACAGGATCTCTGAGCTGGGTGAACACTGAACACATCTGAGGTAAGGATACATTGAAAACAGACAAATTAGGTAAACAAACAACTTCCCCTCACTAGGGTTCCAGAACACTGGCACTCAGGCCTTCAGCTTCCAGGCATGAATCCAAGCATTCCAACAGGAAGATCTAAAGACACTATCAGAGATTCCTCAAATAATTAGCCCTGCTAACACTCTACAGTGAAGCCTGAGGTCAACAAGTCCCATTCACAAGTTCACAGTTTCCAGTTAGCCCTCCATTCCCTACTCAACACCAGCAGAAAACAAGGAGTTTGGAGTATGTGAGAAAAAATGGAGGATAAAATGAAAACAAAGCAACAAAAGAGTTACTTGTAGGAAATTCATCAATGCGAGGAGAAGAAAAAAAAAAATTTCCTCCCCAAAATCAATATCCTCAGAGATCAGAGTCTCCAACAAGATACTGTTGGATAACAGTACAGTTGGATAACAAATAAGATGTTGTTAAGAGGAGATATTCAAAACAATTTTTTTAATTTCACTCAAAAACATGATTCTCTGAAATTAAATATTCAATATAAGGGAAAAAAGACAAATATATAAAATTCTCAGAAAGCAGGACCAGAAAGAATACAAAACTGTAGGTAGAAAACAACAGAATGCCAATCCAGGATATCGAATATCCAACTAACAGAGATTCTAGAGAAATAATAAGTGGAGGGGGGAAAATCCAACTAACAAAATAACTGAAGAAAAATTCCCAGAACTAAAGGACGGAAGTTTTCCTATTAAAACGGTCCTCCAGGGGCACCTGGGTGGCTCAGTGTTGAGCTTCCGCCTTT